CTCCCACTAGTATTGTGTTGCTATTGATGTCTTTTTCCAAATCTATGAGTAGTTGTTTTAAGTACTTTGCTGGTCTCTCATTAGGTGCATATACATTTATTATTGTAAGTTCTTCCTGTTGTACAGATCCTCTGATCAATAAGAAATGGCCTTCACTGTCTCTTATGACCTTCCTCACTCTGAAATCGATGTGGTCTGATATAAGGATGGCTACCCCAGCTTTTTTATGGGAGCTGTTTGCCTGTAGGATTGTTTTCCAGCCTTTGACTCTGAGTCTGTGTTTGCTTTGACTATTGAGATGTGTTTCTTGCAGGCAGCAGAATGTTGGGTTCAATTTTCTAATCCATCCTGCCACTCTATGTCTTTTAATTGGTGCCTTTAGCCCATTGACATTGAGAGAGATTATTGTTATGGGATTTTGTCCCATTGTTCTGTTAAAATTTGGTGTATTTGAGGGGCCTTTCTTGCCTTAAAGTAGCCCATTTAGTTGTTCTTGTAACCATGGTTTTGAGTCTATGAAGTTCCTGAGCTGTTGTTTGTCTGTGAAACTGTGTGTTGTTCCTTCTATTATGAATGAGAGTCTTGCTGGGAAAAGTATTTTGGGGGAGGCATTTATTTCATTGAGTTTTTTTACTATGTCCCACCACTGTTTTCGGGCCATGAGGGTTTCATCAGAAAAATCAGCTGTGAATTTTAAGGATGCTCCTTTGTAAGATATTTCTTTCTTCGATCTTGCTGCTTTCAGAATTTTGTCTCTGTCTAAGGTTTTGGTCATTTTGATCAGAATGTGTCTTGGGGTATTTTTATTCGGATTTCTTCTAGCTGGTACCCTTCGGGCCTCCTGAATGTGGTCACAAGTTTTCTTCAGCTCTGGAAATGTTGTAGCAATGATGTCTTTGACAGTTTCTTCTTCATCGAGGTTTTCTTCCTGTCCCTCTGGGACTCCAATAATTCTTATGTTACCCCTCTTGGCTTCATCACGATCTTCTCTTGCCATCTGTTCCCGAATTGTGAGTCTCTTTTCCATTTTCTGCTCTTTTCTGGAGAGTCTCTGAACTTCATCTTCGAGCTCACTGATTCTGTTCTCAGCCGCTCTTACTCTGCTGCTGAGGCCTTCCACTGAGCTTTTCAATTCGCCTACGAGATTTTTCAGGTCTGACATTTCTGATTGCATTTTCCTCATTTCTGCCTTCAGATCCTCTTGTCTTCTATTGGCATTGCTTTCCATTGTTTCTTTTAATTCCCTAAGCATCCTAAGTAGCTCCCTTCTGAATTCCTTGTCAGAGAGGTTGTCTAACACTACAGTACTGTTGGTGTCATCTGGGCTAGACTCTTCAATATGAAAGTTTGGTGGGCTTTTGCGTTGCTTTACCATTGTGAGAGGTGTGGTTTAGTCCTTCACGTTCAGTGTTACTATTCTGCTTGATATGCAGTGTGAGTTAAGATAGGCTTATGAGTTATTGGCTACTGTGTTTCTAGTGGCTGAGCTAAAATACAGAAGTTTCCATCTAAGAAGTTAGCTTATGGTTCCTATGGCATATGTAGTGGGAAAATATTTCGCGGCCGCGTTAGCGGCCGCGGCTCCCGAGAGAGTACCTGGCACTGGGCGAGGAGTTGGGAACGTCTCCTGTTTGGAATTGGAGCCGTTCAGCTTTGTTGCCCAGAGCTGGGCCTCTGTGCCCGTCCCACGCAGATCAGGGGTTGAAAACCGGCTGTCTAGGGGCTGTTTCTAGCTGCGCGTGCCCAGAGAGGGACCCAGGCCCTTGGGGGCGGGCTGTACCTGTTGGAATTGGAGCCGTTCAGCTTTGTTGCCCAGAGCTGGGCCTCTTTGCCCGTCCCACGCAGATCAGGGGTTGAAAACCGGCTGTCTAGGGGCTGTTTCTAGCTGCGCGTGCCCAGAGAGGGACCCAGGCCCTTGGGGGCAGGCTGTACCTGTTGGAATTGGAGCCGTTCAGCTTTGTTGCCCAGAGCTGGGCCTCTGTGCCCGTCCCATGCAGATCAGGGGTTGAAAACCAGCTGTCTAGGGGCTGTTTCTCACAGCACTTTTATCTCATATCACACTCTAAGTTAAGGAGAAGAAATACTCTAGAAAGATTATCAATGAGAAGCACTGACAAGAAGAGATGGTGGAATGGCTGAAGCTGCAGAAGATGGGGCTGGAGTGATAGCACAGCATATAGAGAGTTTGCCTTGCACGTGGCAGACCCGGGTTCAATTCCCAGCATCCCATATGGTTCCCTGAGCACCGCTAGGAGTAATTACTGAGTGCATAAGCCAGGAGTAACCCCTGTGCATTGCCGGGTGTGATGGAAAAAAAAATAAAGATTCAGAAGAACAGATTAAAATGTGTTTGTATTTAAACTTAGGTTTTTGTTGCATCTGTCAAAAAGAATAGAGTACTCTGACGAATGTGCTAACATTTTAATCCTAAAGAACTTCATCTGAAAATTTTTAGCAATTAGTAAAAATTTCTTATTAATAAGGCAATTATGCCAATAGATCTGCAGTGGAATTTCCCAATGAAAAGAGAAACATTATATTATGGATTTAATTTGAAGTTTCTGTTTATATTTTTAAACTACATTAGTTGTGTTCTAAATCTATGATGTGTCATCTCATGTCCTCAGTTAATTTAGTTGACTGTAATAAAGTGCTTTATTGAACAATTTCTTCAGATAACCCATGATTGTGATAAATATTTTTGCCCTGAGAGAACATCCACAATTAGTAATACCACACTTTTATTGATGTCTAACACTTGTTTATTTCAGGAAATACTTTGTATAACATACATGTTTTGAAATTGTTAATTGTCTAATTTCTAAACAATGATAAGAATAGATTCTTCTATTAGAAACAGCATTATATTTTCATACTTTAATACCAATGCATGATCAAAAGTGTAGATAAATAATGTCAAATAACTATAAGACAGATCAGTTTCAAAACTCTGCATTTTCAGATTTATGTCTCTGGTCACAAAAAGTAAATGCATACCAAAGAATGTCAATAACAGAAAATTTGAGACTATTTGAGATAAATCATTGAGATCTAGCAAAATCCTTCATTGGTAAAAAGAAATAGACAGTGTGGACATTTTTACTTAGAGGAAAGTCTGTATGAAAAATTTATCATGAATCACTAAATAATGAGAGAGAAAGTGGTGGGAGAGAGAGTGTATGTGAGGAGAGAGAGAGAGAGAGAGAGAGAGAGAGAGAGAGAGAGAGAGAGAGGAGAAAGAGAACAGAAACTTAAGCCTCAATATAGGAGTTTTACTAAAGTAAGCTAGTGCAGTATTAAAAGTGTCCCTGAAAAGATCCTGTTTATTTTGTGGATACCAAAAACAAGACTTTGTTAATCATTTTTCATTCATTTAGTCACTCAATGAGCATTTACTCAATTCAAATTTTTTAATGCAGAGAAGAATGTGATAGAAAACCTTCTGTTTCTGTAGTAAATAAATGTTTGCATAGGAAATAGACAAAAAAAATAGGTGAACAAAACAAGCTGACCTAGAGATTGATGCTAAGAAAAAAAATGGATTTTGGATGAATTCAAGGGACTGCGTATAGACACTTCCAGGTGAGACCATAGAAACAGATAGTTGGATCAAAAGATATATGCCCAAATGACTGAGAGGCTAGTCAAACTTAGTTTTTTTTCTCCGTATATATCTGGCTGGCAGTATTTTGTCACTTAACTAATTGTTGAGAGCCAGCAATAAATGAGTGTTAGAATTTCACGGTGTGAGTACGATTACAACTGGAAAACATGTTGGATTCAAACAGCTAATTTTACTGCTGTGATCAAGTATGAAATGTGGAGTAATGCCTAAATCAGTTTATGAAGTCAGTCTTATTCTATGGAGCTATTTGAGTCTAAATTTCTCTAGTTAATATTTCTCTAATTGACCATCAAAGTTCCAGGAATTCCTGCTGGAGAAGGCATCGTTTTTTGCCACTAGATGGCACCAATTATTTTCATATTTTTTTTATCTAAAAAAAGAAACAAACCCAAATCCTACACCTTTTACCATGTAATGGCCACATTAAAAATGAAAGAAAGGTATTTGTGCCATTATTAGAAAAGTGCCATTTTATATTAATAATTTACTTGCAGGATGGATCACAGCAATGTTCATTCACTCATTCAATGCATATTTGTTTCAAGTAAATTTATCTAATATATTAACAATGAGAGTATACAAGGAAAGGAAAGTGGTTTAATATATTATCCATTACATTAAATTATATCATAAATAATATGCATTAATATGCATCAGTTTTTAAAAGATTCGTAGAAAATTATTTTGACAAATTGTGGTAGATTTTTTTTATTGTGGATTTTTTATTGTGAGTAATTTCCCACTGTAATTTAAACTTAGTGTTTACAAATATGCTTAAAAACATTGATATTTATTATTCAAATTAATAAAATAAAATATTACAAGATATAAAATGGGAGCAAATCACAACTAAATATGTATTATTTAGTCATATTCAATATTAAAATTTTTGTACTATGACCTTATAAAACATCATACCTAGAAGAGAGACATTTAAGGTGATTTTATAATTTCTAACTAGAAGGTTTAATGTACAATTTAAACAAAATTTTCTAAAGGAGAAGAGCATAGATTATTTTCAACTTTCAAAAATGACTGATAAACACTCAATGTATTTTTATCAAAAAACAAAGTATAACTGTTCTGATGTCTTTCATTAAAAATGATCCTGAATAAAACTATCTTACACTTTTCATCAGTGGACCTAAAAGTAAAATAAGTACAATGACAAAAGAAAGATGCATGCAAATATAAAAAGTCTAATATTCTATACTAATATAATAACTGAGCAAAATCAAGTTACATGCTATGATAAGAGAATTATTTTTAAAATCTACGCATTTCTGCTAACTCATGAAAAATAAATCTGTTATTGTTGCTCATATGATTTTACTATAGTTCTATCACTCTTAACTAGTTCAAAAATGATACTCACTTTAATATCTGCAAGAGTTTTGTTCCTCATAGAAAAGAGCTGTTTAAATTTCTTTTCTTCCTCAGATATTCTCTTTTCACAGGCTTTTTTCTCTTGTATGAGGTGACTGAAAACGAGTTCTGTTTGTTCCTTTTTATAGTTATTACTTACAAGTTTTTCTCTATAAAAAAATTATTTACCACTATTTAGTTTATATTTTTATTTTCTAAATAATATTTTATGTTACATTTAAAAATACTCAATATTGATATAATCTTCGATTTTTACGTTTTGATAGCTACCTCAAAATAATTTGTTTTTCTGTAGTCATGTGTACTACATTTATCCATCTATAAATATTATTCTGAAAAGTTGATTTCATCGCAACAGAACATCTAGACTTTTATGGCACAAAAAAGATAAAACTCTCGGCTCTTAATTGTAAATCTCTTATTTGCTTATAAGTATTTCATAATTAAAAGCTCATGATTTTTTCCTATCATAAAGCAAATTATGAAAATAAATATCAACTGACAACATTCAATCTACCTACTCATTATTGAAACAATCATAAACCTAAAGGATTCTGGAAATATTCATTTGTCCCTGTCATGGGCCTACTTAGACAGAGACACACTTAAATGATCCAGGTGGAAGAAATTCTTTAGAGAAATTTAGTTGAATGCTTGATTTTTTTATCTAGCATGTTTCAGTTCTCTTAACATAGAAACAGAATCTCTCCTAGGGAAATAGTACCAGAGAGACAGTATGGAGGTTAAGGCACTTGCCCTACATGTTACAGCCCTGATCTGATCTCTACTACTGTCAGAAGCACCCCATGACAGAACCAGGAGTAGTTCTTAACTGTGCACTGCCAAGTATGAAGTGTGAACCATACCCTGCATCCACACCCCACTTCCTGTCTCCAAAACGGAATCTCTTCAAGTTTGTAATTCCAGGATATAGTTGGATGATATTACGTTGATTGGCATGTAGTCAAATATACAGAAGTAAACATGTGGATTAAGCCATCCCATTAAGATGAATGACAAGGACCTTATTCCATGTAGAAGGGTCACACCTGCCAACTTAGAAAGTCATGTTTCCAAATTTTCGAGCAACAGCCATAAGTAGAGATGAAGAAACAAAAAATGTGAGCTGAGTTTTCCTCTACTGAGTCAATCAATCCTGTGGCTCCCCCAATCATGAACCTCCTCCTACATATGATACATGTCCTTGTTTAAGCTGATGTGTGAGTGTGTTTGTGCGCATGTGAATCGGTGCATATTTTGTCATTTGCCACAAAGTTTATACATTCTAGGATGGAAGTAAAGTGACTTTCATGATGAGGATTCAGTGTTTCTTATGGTGAGAATCAGTAGGTATAAATGTATACTAGTAGAAAAAGTATCAAAAAATGGTAAAGAAAATACTACCCCAAATAAGTATTATTTACAAATAATTGTAAAAGTTGATCAGCAACCTAGAATCTAGAAAATGCAGGACTTCAAAAAATCATCACAATCTTATTTACACATCCACATTTTTTTATCTCTACTGGTGTGAAAATTAAAGCATATAGTATTTGTAATGATTATTGCACTACAAGTTTTTTTTTAAAATTTTTATTAGTGGAACATCATGAGGTACAGTTGTAGACTTACAAATTTTTGTACTTGGGTTTCAATTATACAATGATTAAATACCCATTCCTCCGCCAGTGCCCATTTTCCACCACCACGGATCCCAGTATCCCTCCCACCCCTTATCCCCCTCATCCCACCCTACCTCTGTGGCAGGTCATTCCCTTTTGTTCTTTCTCTCCTTTTGGCCTCTTTTCCACAAGAGAGGCACTGAATGACAATCGTGTTTGGTCTATAGTCTACTTTCAGCATGCTTCTTCCATCCTGGGAGGATCCTCCCAACACCCTTTATTTGGTGCTCCCTTCTTTATCTGAGTTGCCTTTTCCCCTACCATGTGTGGCTGGCCTCCAAGCCATGGAGTAAACCTCCTGGTACTAATCTTGGCTATTCTTGGGTGTTAGTCTCCTATTTTGTTACTTTATGTTCCCCAGATGAATGCAATCTTTCTATGTCTATCCCTCTCTTTCTGACTCATTTTGCTTAATTGCACTACAAGTTTTGAGGGACTATAGTACTGGGGGGCCAGGGACATAGCAGTGGGTAATGGTATTGCCTTTTACAATATTCACAGCACCCTATATGAACCCCTGAGCTGGTCCCTTAGTACATAACCACAAGTAAGTCCTGAGCACCACTTGATGTGGTCAAAATACAAAAATAAATTAAATATCAAGGTACATTGAATGTAATATCTCATTTAACACAACACCAGCACCAGAAGATAAAAATTTCTATAACAATATATGGATGAGGAAACTAAACTTGAGTATAATTACTGTGTGTGTGTGTGCAAGCAAATAAGCTAATATAACCAAACCAAACCTTTTATCAAATATCACTATACCTTAAATGCATACTGTATTCTATACTTGTTATATTTTAAGTTTTAATTATATTTAAGCATCCTTTTACTAGTTGTATATATGCACATATATATGTATATATGTATATATGCATATTTATATGTATAAATATTGGTTAATATTGTCCATAATCAACCATTATATGTACCATATATTTATATCTATGCATGAAAATTTTTTCTCCCATGGTGATATAAAGAGAATACTGAAATTCCATGGGTTTGAGTTAGGATTCTTTCACTTTCTAGTTAATAAAATGTTGTAGCCAGAATGTGCACAAGCTATAAGGCATATTCTTTACAGGTATGATGTTCCAGGTCCAATTATCAGCACCACACAAGCCACTAGTACTACTATGTATGGCCCTCACAAATTTTTTTCAAAGATTAACATTTTAAGTTACAAGAGCAGAATAGATAGTATAGCAATTATCATGCTTGCCTTGCATTTGGGGAACCCAGGCTTGATTCCCAGAACCTAATGTGGTCCCCTGAGCCTTCCAGGAGTGACCCCTGAGCACAAAGTTCAGAGTAAGCCCTGAGCATCACCAAGTGTGGCCCAAAAACAAAAAGCAAAACTTTAAAAAGTTACATAGAGACAAAGATATCTTTAATTCTATAAGTTTTAATATATTTAAATTTTTTGCATATGCATATTTTTTCTAAAAGATATCAGATGTTATAACTCTATTTATCAATTTCTGTGTCTTTTATTGGCGCCTGGCAATAGGTATATTAAGGGTTATCAACAAAATATTTATTAACTGAATATGATCACCTATTGAAAGAACCAGTAGATGATTTCTGGTATAGTTTATTTGCAATTACCTTTCTTTCCAACCATACTTTCTTTCAATCATGCGCCAATATGCAGTTTTGAAAGAGCACATAATTTGGAACAGAATGGACATAAATTGGAGCTAGTGTTACTACCAATGAGCTGTTCAATCTTCAGACAATAATTTAATTTTCTTGATCTTCTGTTTCCTCAACATTCACATGAGAAAATTTTTTACATAATTTAAAAAATTTTTGCATTGGATAAGAAGATGTGAATAGATTTCCATAGAGTGCCTTACTGATTTATTAGCAAGTCAAATATATTTTTTTTAATTTTAGATAAAATTGGCATACAAATTATAACTATGTTCGGTGGTGTACTTTAGATTCTCTTTGAAATATTTGTTACCATAACCACCACAAAAGTATTGATAGAACTTTAAATATTGGTTGATATTGCCCATAATCACTACTAATATGTAAAGTTGTAATTAATACTATAATGTCAATTTTCTTCTCCTTTTCCGATGAGATGTATGAATACGGTCAATATTAAAATTTTATTCCCTGAGAAATGGGGGCCACATTTGTTTTATAGGCAATATAATCTAGCTGCAGGATAGAACTACAGTTATGATTTAAATGGCAAGAATAAAAAATGTTTCATCAGGTTATGAATTAAATCTTTATAAGTTTAATATGAGTCATATAATTTTGTGCTTATATCTTTGAGCCCTCAAATATACTAACAGATATTAAATTAAAATGTGTATAGTTATTTTTCAATATAAATAGCATGTATTATTTTCTTGCATGACATACTGAATAATATTCACAATTTTCAGATAAAACTATATGATATTTACTCAAGTGATAACAATTAAATTATTGTTTCATGCATTGACTTGATTCATTAGGCATATTATATCAGTCTGTGCATAATTATTTTCCTGAATCTTTATACCCCAAGTTTTGTTAGTGTTCCATTAACCTCGATATTTAAATTGAACCATCAGCTCTAAATGTGAACAATATTTCTTTCTCCAGTAGTCTTCTAAGAACTAGTATCATTCTATCAAAAAAACAAAAAAAGCCCCAAAAAACAGTGGGTAAGAGACAAGAGGAATAAAGTTTGAGTATATAAGTTCTAAATAAGGGTTCACGAATGTACCAAGTCTAAGAGTATGATCAATTTCTGAACAAAGGTCTTACTAATCTTTGTCAAGTATTCCTCAGACTTATGAACACACTGGATGAACGACTTCTGAAGAAAATCAATGTGACTAAATTACATGACTTGCATTATAGAATATCTATTTCTAAAACCTTACCTTAGAAATAGACATTATACATTAATGGGTAGAAAACAGTATGCTGTCAACCCTGTGATGTTAGTGAGAATGCTAAAGCAAGTGGGAAATTTACTTTTATAAGGAATGATAGTTCTGATATTTAGAAAAGAACTATTCCTAGTCATTAACATATAATAAAAACAATTTATGATAATCTATGATTATTATTTTAACCAAAAATTTCAAATATCACATGTATATTCCAAATTAAATTATGATTAATTCTGAATCATTTTAAGAATAAATTTTAAATGTGGAAATTTTATCTTAGCTATTTTATAAAAATACATTAAACATTAATTTTTAAATAAAATTTCAATACTTACCTTGAGTTGCTAATTAGATAAGCAAAACATTCTTTTTCTCTTTCCATTTCTTCTAAGTCTGTGTCTAATTGATTTACTTTTGTTTGAAAAAAAGTTATTTTGCTTAAAGTAGTCTCTATTTCTTTTAAAATGGCTGATTGTTTTTCCTGGGGGGAAATTATAGGAATGCTTCACTTTTAAATACTTTAGAGAAGCGATTATATTTTAATTTGTGAACAATTAAAAACAAATAGTAATTTATCAATATATGTGACAAGTTAGATTTTTCTTGTCTCCATTTTTACATCTGATGAGATCTTCTGAAAGAGGACCTCTCTTCTTATCTTTCTTTCTCTCCTTACCTTTCTCCCATTCTTCCCTCTCCCCTGCACTACTTATCCTCCTATCCGTCAAACACAAGAACATATTAAAAACATTCCCTGCAAACCTGCAAACGTATGTAGTCACTGGTTTTTAAACATGTACTCTGCTCAACAGCAGAGATATATTGTGCTGATCTTTTGAACAAGAGAAGTTGGAATTGAATACTAGCTCGATTTCCTAAAGCTGGCCTGTTGGATTCCAGAATGGAGACTGCGCATTTTTTCCCAGGGTCCCTTTACAAGTGCTGGTCTCTATACTGACAAAATGGTTGACTTATTGAACCTGCTCCCAAACTGCTTCTAATGAGAGCTACCCCCAAGATGATTCCATTTATCTTACCTGCTACTTCCTTGGTTCATTTTCCCTCCCATTTCTCCGCATGTGAGACTTAATATATTTTAATTTTTTGAATAGATTTTAAGAATAGTTATTATTTTCTATTAATTTTTTAAAAGTTTTTGGGTCACAGCTGGTGGTGTTCAAGGGCATCACTCCTGGTGATGCTTGGAGGACCACATGGGATGCTGGGGAATAGAACCTGGATTAGGTAAGTGCAAGGCAAGCATCCTTTGCACTGTACTATTTTTCCAGCAACCAATACTGTGTTAAGTCTCCCAGCACTTCCAAGTCGGAATAGTATCATCTCACTGGTATTACCATGGTATCATCTTAGTTCATTCTACAAATATTTTCTTAGAATTTATCTTCAGTCATTTATGCATAGATTATAATGTCTATGCCGAACTATCTTTTAACACAGAAGTAAATAATGAAAATACATCTTAAAATATTTCTAGTGCTACAGGGCTAGTACAAAGATTAAGGAGCTTGCTTTGCATATGGCCAGCCATAGTTTTTTAAACACATTTGGTCCTCTAAGTACCTCCAGGAGCAATCCCTGAGTCCAGAGATGGGAGTAAGCTCTGAAGGTCATCAGAAATAGACCAAAATAAAAAAAAATTAAAAAAAGAGAATTAGGAAAAATATTTCCAGTAACATGTATATTTTTTCTTTTTGTTATTTTTCATTGTTGTTGTTGTTATTGAGTTTTGATTTCACATCATTGTGGTCAATAAAATTAATCTGTGATTCAAACAGTATAATGTAATGGCATAGATTCTAGAGCAATGGTCAGATAGAGTGAATTTCAACTCTGGTACTAATGAGCTTTGTGAAACTGAACAAGCTAGCTCTTCAATTGACTTGTTAAGTTAGGTAATTTAGGCATTAGATTAGATTAGATTCAAGTATACAGTGAAGATATTTATGGCACACTCTTTGAGAAATTAAAACAAAAAGGAAACAGTTAAGTGTTCAGGAAGATGCTCAAAATGCTTGTGCACATGAAAGGCCCTGTATTCCACTTCCAACACCTCCGGATTCCCTGAGAAACACTGAATATAGCCTTCATGATCCCTGAGCACTGCTGGCATGGCCTCAATAGTCCCCAGCACTGCTGGGCCATAGCATCAGACAGTGTAGCCTGGTTGGTCAAGTGTGTCTTGGAGATTCCCTTAGAATATCTTGAGCATTGCCAGGGAGGATTCCTCCCAAAAATAATGAAAAGGGAATAAAGGGTTCTATGTAGGATAACTCTGTTTTGTCCTTCCTGAATAGCCTCAGGTAGTTTAGGTTTATTGGGTTGCTCCCATCACAGTACTCCCATTCCTCTGTGTTTATTTGTAACTTCTTTGTTTTTGCTCTGCTAACTTGTAAATATTGTTTTTCTCTTCTTCCTAAATCCTTTGCATAGTTTATTCAGAACAATGTCCTTTTTGTATGGACACAAGAAGACAGAGTATGCTATGCTTTTGTAACATGACTCTCAGTGATATTTTCTTCCTGGGCATCTGTTCTCTCACCTAAGCCTCAGCTGCCCTTACTTCCTAGTGCCCCCCAAAACAGGGTTCCAACGAGGGACTGGATGGAATCAGGGCAAGCGGTAAACTATGTGCTACCCTGGCATTGAGATGGGCCTTGCCAAAGTGCCATAATGCTTAACTATAAGTTAAGAGCTTGGTCATGGACAAATGCTGTCATGATCCAAAAAGTAATAAGTAGATCTGGACCCTGCTAGGGTTAGGAATGATTAATCTGGCCTGAGCACTGTAGTCTGAATCTGTGGCAAGATGTTTCCAGGAGAGCTAGCTGCCCTACAAGCCTCGATGTATCTCTTACTGTGTTCCTACAAAAATAAATAGTATTAAGATGTTGATAGATTTATTGGACTGAGGAAAGGAGAAAGGCACCTTAAGAGGTATTTTGCCCTTGGGTAGTCAGGAAGGGCTTTGGAATATCTTTTAGGTGGTATTCCCTTTGAACTTGGTGGGCCCTCAGGAAGGGCTTTCTTATGTTGATTTTGCTACCTGACTGGGTACAGTGTAAGCCCAGAGTGCTGGGGAGTTGGAGAGACAAGAGAGTTGGAGAAAGAGAGCAGGGCAGCAAGGTGGAGTGTAGAGAGAATGGCAAGGGGGACAGAGAGAGAAGAATGTAGAATTACAGGAGCAGCCGCGTGGAGAGACAGAGAGCCCAGGCTGTGATATGGAGGGCGGAGAGATGAATGGGAGAGACAGGAGGAGACGGGAATGAGGGTCAGTGTGAGACTAGAATGGGGGGTGGGGTGGGGAGAAGGGCTCAGAGAAACTGGAGCAGGCACGTGGGGAGAATGGAATAAACGACACTGATCAACCAACTAGGTTGGCCCTCATTTCCTCCACTGTCTTCCCCATGACCTGGGCCACTTCGGCTTGGGGAGTTGCCTGAGGTCCCCTCGAACCCGGGCAGCAAGGGGGAGAGCTACCAGGGCCTTTTCCTGGCCGCCCCCTGGAGATATTTTACAGTTCTATATTCAACAAATTAAAAACAATCAAGAGGCAGTAATGGTGTTTTTTTATATTAATATCTTACTTCTTCTTCTACTATTGAATCGTGGATTTTCTTCTCAATTTCTTGCAAATTTTTGTGTTTCATTTCCACCGTTGTTTTAACAAAATCTCTCTTCTTGAGTAAATTGCTTAATGCCTAAAAGACATCTATGCTGATGCACAACTTTTACAGTAAAGTTATTCTGGTTTAAATAAATCTAATCTAGAGTACCAAAGTAATAAAAACAACATGTAGAAATTTAAGTTGTAATTTATATTTGAAATACTTAACCAAAATTCAAACTCCAAATTCAAATTGTCAGAAATCGTCATAAAAGTTTTAAAAAACTTATTATTTCCAAGAGCTTATATTGAGTAACAATATAGACAACAAAAGTAATAAGAACAAAGAAAATGATTACTCCATATTTTGGCTATCTACTATGAATAGCATTTCTATGAACATAGGGGTGTACATCTCCTTAAATTAATATTTTTATCTTTTGGATAAATGAGCAGAAGTGGTGTTACTGAATCATATGAAATTTCCCATTTTAATTTTTCAGGACTCTCCAAGTCAGTTTCCGTAAAGTCTGAACCAATTTACATTCCTGCTAAAGAGTGTACTAGAATTCCGCTCCCTCCACATGCTGGTTAATTCCTGCCTCTAGTTGTTGATGTGAGCCATTCTCACTAGAGTAAATGATATTTCACTGTTTGTATTTGTTTATATTTCCCTAATAATTAGTGCTGTACACATACTCAATATTCTTCGACTCTGCCATCACACAAGATTTAAAGTCATGATTTGTGGGACAAAAGTAATGTGACTGGAGGTGATAATTTTAAGTGAAATAAGGAAGTGAAAGACAAGTGATGGTTTCACTCTTATGTGGAACATAAATGATGAAAGAAAGTGGACAAGCAGAAAAACAACAAAGCTAACCATTAGGTTTGCTGAAAACTGGTGGTTATCAGAGGACAATGCGGGTGAAAATAGAAGAAACCCATGCAAGGGTCTCTTCATGGGGTGGTATGGGAACTTGGGCAGTAGGGTGGTAAATCTTACACACAGAAAGAAATGTTAAGATGTTATGCCTTAAATTCTATAATGTAGTGATGTAATGAATATGAATTTAAAAGGGAAACATTTTTTTAAGTGATTACTAAGGGCTGGAGTAATAGTTCAGTAGGCAAGGTGCTTGCCTTGCACATGCTCAACTTGGGTTATAACCCAACACCACTAACACCCAGAGCGCCACCAGCAGTAACCCCTGAGGAAGAGCCATAGTAGATAGCCAGGGATTCCTGAGCACTACTCAGTGAGGCCCCAAAACAAAACCAAAGAAAATTATTACTGGATTTGAAAAAAATAAAAAGGTGAAGAAAAAGGTATAGATTTTATAAAAGAAGGTGCAATTGGGGATCAGAGCCATAGTCCAGAGGGTAGGGCACTTGTCTTGCACAAGGAAAACCCGGGTTTTATCAAGGTACCACATGTAGTCTCTGAGTACCCCTAGGAGTGGTGCCTCATCACAGAGCCATGTGTAAGCCTTGTGGACCCACTGGGTGTGAATCCAAACCCAAAATAAATAAATAAAGGAAAGCAAAAGCTGTTAATATATTTTTTAAATCCCTTTTCATGTTCAATTCTACTCAATGTTCTTATGCTATTAGTAAATTGTATTATTGATAATCAATACATTTTTACATATGTATCTATGTGTCTATATATGTATTTGGTTTTTAGGCTACACCCAGGAGTGCTCAGCACTTTCTCCTGACTCTGCATCCAGGGATTCTCCTGGCAGACTCAGGGGACCATCTGGGGTGACAAGGATCAATGTCTGGTAGTTTTTGTGTAAGACAAGACCCTGCTAAATTTATATTTTAAAAAGAATTAATTTCCATAATTTATATAAAATATAATTGTTAAAATTACATGTTTTAAACATAAACAACATAACATAAACATAATTGTTAAAATTACATCTAGCATATAAAATTACATGCTAGAACTAGGTATATATTCATTCTATGAACTCTCTAAGTTGACCATTTAGAAATCCAGTCTAGAAGAGTAAAGTCGGAATTAACTGTTTCCATTATTTAATGCTTTGTACAAGTTGCTTAAAATAATTAGATCAAAGCTTTTATAAGTTTATAATACAGATAAACAGTGGTCTATTGTATAAAGGGGCTTTGAAGATTAATTTGATAACAAAAACAATGTAAATCAATAATCTTAAGCAAGAGAATTTTGAAAAGTCTTAAAAACTAGTACTGTAACATAACCTTACATTTGCAAAGAAAAAAATCCTGTTGTCAACATGACCCACATAAATGTATGTGTGTTCTTTCTGCAGCTAGGGACAAGAATGTATAACTCTTACCACACCCTCTGCTTCTTCACTAGACTAATGACATGATGTATACATACTTTTCTACTAAATTTTTCTTTGGGAAGGGCTAGTAATATCAGTTAATGTCATAAACTTGTTGTTTTGAAAATATATTATTGACATTTGCTTTATTTTTTACCCTATCCTCTACATATATCAAAAAATGGTACATTATAGCACTGTAGCACTGTCTTCCCGTTGTTCCATCGATTTGCTCGAGCGGGCACCAGTAACATCTCCACTGTGAGACTTGTTACTGTTTTTGGCATATTGAATACGCCATGGGGAGCTTGGCAGGCTCCGCCATGTGGGTGGGATACTGTCAGTAGCTTGCTGGGCTCTCTGAGAGCGACAGAGGAGTTGAACCCCTGTTGGCCAGGTGCAAGGCAAACACCCCACCCACTGTGCTATTGCTCCAGACATTCTATTTCATATTTAATAAACATAAATGTCGCATTTTATTAACAACCAATGAAGATTTTTTGAATTAAACTTATCATAGTAGACAATCACACTAGATGAATTGCTACTCACCCATTTGAAAACTGCTTTTCCTAAGTGCACTTTAAGAGAGATTATGTGGTTACAGGTAATATTTGTACACGCTTTTATGTCTTCAAGGGGAAAATATCATAATTCTCTAAGTCATAATGTAAAGCCACAACACATAAATTTACATACATGAATTAGTGTACTAAATATTTCTGCAAATTAGTTTCTGGATTAATTGCTGTGCTTACGATAGCATGTTCTCGGTGACTCTCTCTGATTTTTGCAGCCTCTTCTTTGATTTTATCGATCGGTTCCTCTATTGTTTTCAGGAGTAGGGAATAGATTCGTTTTCTTTTCAAAAAGAGTAGCTTCTCGCTGTCAAGATAGTCTGCAATGCTCAGAAGTTTTTTCTGCCAAAAAATATTTTAATTTATTAAATTTAGTTACTAATTGCCTCAACATTTATAAAGCCTCATCTGTGCTAGGTAATAATATTTTCTATACTTACAAATAAATGTCCCCATAAAAGGCAGTAGATATGTACTTCGCATATTTAAGGAACCAAAGCTATGATTAAAAAAAATCTGGTAGTCAAAATAATAGTATTCTTAAAAAAATATTAGAGGATAATGAATTTAGAGAATTTACTGGAAAATATTGTATATATATAAAACCTTACAAATATTACTAAATAAAACTAATGAATAAGAAATTAATAAAATACTAAGCAAAATAGAATATTATGTATATTTTAATATAAATGAATCTATTAATTTATATGTTAGGCACATATAAATTAGTATTCTGCTTTTGTTTATGAGAAACAGCCTTGTTCCTGACGCTCCATTCGCTCTCAACGGAACCACCATCTCCGAATGCAACAGTTATATATACCTAGGTCGAGAAATCAACATGATGAATGACCTGGCACCTAAGTTGCGCAGGAGGAAGAGAGCGGCTTGGAATGCCTTCAAGAGCATTGAAGAAATAACTAAAAGGACAAAGAACCTCCAGCTATGAGCACATCTCTTTGATTCCACTATTCTTCCTGCATTAACATATGCCTCAGAGACCTGGACCCTACGAAAACAGGATGAGAACGCTATTCAGGTCTCTCAAAGAGGAATCGAAAGAACTATGCTTGGAATATCACGATTCACTCAAATGAGAGATAGAATCCGGAGTTCTGATCTTTGTCAATGCTCAAGAATCAGGGACGCTGTCTCATTTGCCAAGACATTAAAAATCAGATGGGCTGGACATGTAATGAGGTTTACAGACAACCGCTGGACTAGAGCCATTACTGATTGGATTCCACGAGACATCAAAAGATCACGTGGACGCCCACCTATAAGATGGTCAGACTTCTTCGTCAAGACCCTAAATGATCAGTTTGAGGCTCTGCATGTTCCTAGAACGAACAGATACCATTGGGCTACGCTAGCACGCAACCGGGATGAATGGAGACGTTACTGGCACCCGCTCGAATAAATCGATGAATAACGGGGATTAAGTGATTAAGTGATTTTGTGTTTTTGAAATGACTGAAATTTCCTTTTAGAAAGACCCACAATACTTATGTTTACTTATAAGAGGACCAGAGGTACAAATAATACAAAATACATTTTTAGCATCATGCCATTTTACCTCTTGACTTTGATCACAATAATAACAATTTAAATTATTTACATATTTTTGAGGAGAAGCATTCTAGAAACATACAAAAAAATCAAAAACTCAAACACTGGTTCTCAACAGATATGCTGGTGATACAGGTGAAAAAATTCAAAATGATTTTGCTAGATATCAAGCTTTGGACTTAGAACATTTATTTAGAATTATCATAGTGCATTTTTTTTAGTATTAAATAAAGAAAATCAGTTGAAAGACACAAAAAGTAAAGAAAACATCACATCATCACAAAACAAACTAAAAAGACATTTAGGATGAAGATGGCACTGCCCTCATACTAGACTGGCAGGAATTCCCATTAAACCATAAAATGAGATATGTATATGGAAGGTCAGTTTCTTTATGCATGATCAGACATCACAACTTGTACACAGAGGGCAACTGTCTTCAGCTAAGGAGGGAAAACCGCTGGCTTGCAAACCAAGTACTGAAAAGATGCCTTATTACAGGTAAATTTAAAATGCTAACTAAAATGCAAATTAAAGAAAGAAAACAAATATTGCAACCAACCAAAATAGGATTACCTGATCCATTAGTTCGTGGACCACTATAGCTCGAGTTCTTTTTTTCAAGAATTCTTCTCTACCCTAAAAATTATCAAATTTAAAGGCAGTTTTATTTACAGAATCTTAGGGAAGAAAATAGGTTTTTTTATTTTGTTTTAAATTACTATTACAAGATCCACTGGAATACTTTATAATAAAGAGTAACACTACAAGTTGAGTCACTGTCACTGTCCTCCCGTTGTTCATCGATTTGCTCAAGTGGGCCCAGTAACGTCTCCATTGTGACACTTGTTACTGTGTTTGGCATATCGAATACGTCACGGGGAGCTTGCCAGGCTTTGCCGTGGGGGCAAGATACTCGCAGTAGCTTGCCGGGCTCTCCAAGAGGGGTGGAGGAATCGAACTCAGGTCAGCCACGTTGGCCCCTTTCAAGGCAAACGCCTTACCCGCTGTGCTATGGCTCCAGCCCACAAGTTGAGTATTGTCAATTTTTTTTTAAAGAAGTAATATTGAGGCAAATTTATTAAAACAAGATCAGGAAACAATACAGAATTTCCATTCAATTTAGTTTGTATTTTAGAGTCCTGAAATGAAACGTAGTGACAAAGAATAAAAAACTAGAGGGTGTTCACTTTATTTTTTAAAAAAAAAAACAACTTTGCTTTTAACATTACTTTTCATAATTAACACATGACAGCATACATACAATTCAAGTCTGAAGTATATTAAACATGATTACTGGGCCAGAGGGATAGTATGGGGCTAAGGCGCTTGCTTTGTTTGCAGCCAATCTTTTTTTTTCTTTTTTTTAGGTAATATTTAAATTCTACTCTTTAAAAATTTTTTATTAGTGAAACACTATGACGTACAGTTGTAGACTTACAAGCTTTCATGCCTGGGTTTCAGTTATACAATGACCAGGTACCCATCCCTCCACCAGTGCCCATTTTCCACACCCCCCCACCCCCAACCCACCAACCCCCACCTGCGCTGTGGCAGGGCATTCGCTTTTGTTCTCTCTTTCCTTTAGGGTGTTGTGGTTTGCTTGCAGCCAGTCTTGGTTGAATCCCCCACTACCATCAGGAGAGAAGATTTGGGCTACCCTCCAGATCTTAAAAATGTATGTAACACTTTTCAAAGAGGAATTGTGGAACTTCAGAACTGTCTCTGGTATCTCAAGTTACTGAATCCCTCATTATATACCAGAATCTATAAAAACCATAGAGACAAAGAATATGAATCTAAATCTTCTTTTCTCTGTAGAGCAACCATTCAAAATTTTCCCTCCTTAAGTTATTAAAAAACAAACAAACAAACCCAAGAATGGAATAGAAAGGTGACACAGAAAACAGCAACTTTAATATCATAAAGGATAATGTATCCTTTGACTAAGGATATCACCACATCTAAACCCATTTATAAGATGGTGTTAGGTTTTGTTCACTTAAGAGATATGTGTCTTTTTTATTATGATAACAGAGTAATCTTATCTATTTGTGAGATATTAATCAAAGGGGAACCAAATTGAAAATGCACTGTGCCCTGTAAGCTGTTAAGGTAGCCATAGAACTTCCAGGTACCTAACAGAAGACCAAGGTGGCAGAGAATCACTTTGGAGTGAACACAATGGGTCCCCTGAGCACTGTTTAGGAGATCCTCCCCCTCCCCAAAACGATGATGAAAACTAAAGAGCCTCTGTATACCAGAAAACATACTGTGTTCCAAAATAGAGTGCTATTTTGACCTTTGCCTGAAACGAACTGAAAAATACGTGTGTGAGTATGTATGTATATACATGCTTAGATAGGGAGTGGAGGTAAGACTGAAGTTGAGACTAGTCACCTTCTAGAATACATACCATCTCTCTGACATGGTATCAGTGAAAAGGATGTGAAAACAGTGAAAGATGTTAAGTAAGGCTGTGTGTTTTAGAAAGGCCAGTTTGACTGTAATATGGTTTCATTAGTTTCTATTATCTTAAAATTCATTCATTTGCTCTTTAAGTTTTAAAGTCATTTAAGTTATGAACTTGTGTCTCCAAACTTAAATTCAAACTGGAAAAAAAAATTAACTTGTGTCTTAAATAAATAAATAAATAAATAACAGCAGGCAATACCTGAAAAATTAAAATAGACTAGGTAGCAGACACTGCAAATATTAAAACAGTTGCACTTTTCTGGGCAAAAATGAGCTCATTACGAAGCATATATATGTGCAAAACCAACTCAACTCATTACCAAAGGACAAATACGCACTATGCCTGGGAAAACATCCGGAGTCTAACTCTACCTTCTCAGGGAACTGTCCACGCTGTTTTCTAAAAAGATCCTTGTGACTCAGAGAGAAAAGTCAAAGGAAGGCTATGAGGAAACAAAAACATTGATCTCTGCCTGGGATGCTGATCTCATACATCTGAAGCAAACACAATGACAGAGAATGTTCTCTGGCAGATTCCTGAAGAAAAGGTACCACATGGCAAAATGTGGTAAAATTGGTCCACACAGGCACTGGCAAAGTACCCAGAGGTAACCCGTGTCCTAGGAGAGCTACGGAATTACCAGAACCTTCAGAACAGTCTGAATCACGCTTTGAGGCATGTGGAGCTCTGATGATCACAGGCCTTCCATCATAGAGTGGCAACATCTTACAGAGAAAAGTTTACAGCAGGAGCCAACGCGATTTTTCTGTGAAGGGCTAGATCATGAACAATCTAGGCTTTGTGGGTATAAAGTCAGCCACATTACTCAGTTTCTCATCTGGGTAGAAAGAATTAAAGGTAATCACCAATCACTTGGGAGAGCTTGGCTGACGTCACGTAAAGGGAGTGCTATTATTCTGCAGTCAGGGAAATGCTTAAATCACCTTTGACCTGTTGCCTGGCTTTAGCAGTCAGACACCAGAAGGTGGCAGCAGAGAGCTGTAGTGATAGAATAGACTCCTCGGACTAAGGGTGCCTGCAGAGGAGCAGATGAAACCTTTCTGCATCTCCAAACCCCTTCCAGAGGGAACAGGGGTACAGACCCGACAAAGAAACAGATCTGAGCTCGGAATAAAGGAAGTAGTGCGCTTTTGTTTTCCAGCGGCAGAGGAAAAGTTGGAGAACTCTTTACATAAAGTCAGCCTAGCACAATAGGGATTAAACCTTGAAAATGAAAAGTTTAGGAGTCCAGGGGCTAGAGCAATAGCACTGCAGGTAGGGCGTTTGCCTTGCACACGGCCGACCGGGGTTCTATTCCCAGCATCCCATATGGTCCCCCAGCACTGCCAGGAGTAATTCCTGAGTGAGTGAGTGAGCCAGGAGTAACTCCTGTGCGTTGCCGGGTGTGATCCAAAAAGAAAAAGAAAAAAGAAAAAAAGAAAAGTTTAGGGGTCAGGAGCATTACCTTTTGCCTCGCAGGCACAAGGCTATGAATTTGATCGCTGTAACCATATGCCTCCTGCCTAGTACAGACGGGCAGCCCAGATCAGGTGAGCTCCAGCCCCTGTGTAGCCCCAGCTGACCATGTTGCCTGAGCTCTCCCACACACCCCTGTAAAATTAGGTGTAGTAAAATCAGGTGTGAAAGTTGTAAAGCAAAATGTGGGAGCCCTGCAGATAACTGTGGGCACAGTTAATTAGCAAAGAGAAGAGCAGCTCTGGCTCTGCACTGCTTGGCAATATTTTGTTGGTCAAAACTCTTAACAGAAAGCCAAGGAGACAGACTGTCTTGGTTTTAAAAATCAGTGCAAGCATACGACTCAGTACTTATTTCATTGAGTGGAGGTGACTGGGGCCACAATAGGAAGTGCTCAGGTATGACTCTGGTTCTCTGGTAATGAGGAATTACTTTCTTGGTGCTCCAAAAACTGTATATGCAGTGCCAGGGATTGAAGTCAGATCTATAGGAAGCAAACTTAACTCCTGTACTTTGTCTCTGGCCCCTTTATTAAATTTTTGACTATTTGTAAATATATTTTGTATAAAATATAATTTTTATATTTTAAATATAAATTTTTATATAGAAATATATTTTATAAATATATTTTTATTTTGAATGTACATAAATCTATTTTTAGTTAAAAAATAACAAGTTAAGCTGAATTTACAAACCCAGAGAAAAGACATGATAACTTGTTGGTATATTCCTTCTTAAATCCAGGGATTAAATTTATTTTCTATAGAGTCAAATTATTAAGACCCTCAAAGTCTCTAAAAACAGCAGAACACCTATTATTTTATAAAATTCAAAATAAAATGAATTTATGATATAAATTTGTATTCACATAATCAAACTACTATTGTATTACTGAGAAATTGTGCATTTGAAATTTACATATTTTCCTTTTGTATTTACTATTATTCGTGCTTCCCACAAACATTTATAGAGGACTGACTTTATTCTAAGCATTATTCTCTGCATTGTGGTGCAATGGTAGACAAAATATACCATAAATCATACTCACTATAAGCATATTTTGGTGGTTAATAGGTAACTAATTATAAACATCTTTAAATATACTCTTGGCAGCCTTTGTTCATCTTTGTTACAGCAGTAGATGCTTAATAGTCATATTTTTATAAATTTTATTAGAGATCTTAGATGATTAATTCCTTTAAAGTACTTTACATATATTAATATTAATTTCCAGAAAGATTCTACTAATTTATATTGAGTTAGATATTTTCAACAAGTCTCCAAGCCTGTTTGGTTCGGGATCGGGCCTCTTCCACCCAGCTCCCCCACCTTCCAGTAGCTAGACAGTTACGCCCACCAACTGCCGTGTAACTCCATCAATGGCCAGGATCCAGAGACTCTAAAACCAAGTTCCCAGAAGACTCTAAAACCAAGCATTCGCTGCCCTGCGACCTCTTATTCTCTAGTTCTCACTCTCAGAGAACCCAGCAGGCTACTGAGAGTATCATACCTACCTATATGCCTGACTAGGAACACCTGTAAAGAGGCTGCCCCTAAAGCTTCCATCCCTCTCGAAGAGCCCGGCAAGCAATCCCGCCCACATGGCAGAGCCTGACAAGCTAACTGTGGCGTACTCGATATGTCAAAAACAGTAACAATGAATGGTCCTCATCCCCCTGATCCTGAA